CTCAGAACCAAACCCTCGCCCCTTCCCTCACTTGGAACCAAACCCTCACCCCTTCCCTCACACGGAACCAAATCCTTGTCCATTCCCTCACTCGGAACCAAACCCTCGCCCTCACTCAGAACCAAACCCTCGCCCCTTCCCTCACTCAGAACCAAACCCTCGCCCCTTCCCTCACTCAGAACCAAGCCCTCACCCCTTCCCTCACACGGAACCAAACCCTTGCCGTCACTCAGAACCAAACCCTCACTCTCACTCAGAACCAAACCCTCAACCCCTTCCCTCACTCGGAACCAAACCCTCACCCCTTCCCTCACTCAGAACCAAGCCCTCGTCCCTTCCCTCACTTGGAACCAAACCCTCGCCCTCACTCGGAATCAAACCCTCGCCCCTTCCCTCACTCGCAGCATCGTCCGCCTGAATCTTTTCCACCCACAAAACCCCTGCCAACCAAGCAGGAAATCACATTCAAATCAACTTTAAAAATGGCTCTGAACTCCTTGAAAATTCCAGTGATTTTGGAAGAAGTCTGGCTTGCAAAAGAAATCAAGGATCAGTTTATTCTTAGTGCCTTGATCTAGTAACCACTGTGGGGTTGGATCAAGGGTTGGACTTGATGATCTCAGAGGTCCCTTCCAACCCAGTTGATTCTGTGATTCCATGATTCTATGATTCCATGATCCTATGATTCCATGATTCCATGATTCTTTTTTTTCAGTCATTCATTTTAACAAGTGATAACAAAGTTCAGTATAAATCCTTCTTTAGAAAAATCTCATATCCGAAGGCAAAGAACAGGATAATTTCCTGTTAAGTGCTAAATTTCCTCCTTAAATTACGATGCACTTGAGTTTTCATTCATTACTATACAAAATAATGAACATTTGTGTTGTTTGCAACAGAAAAAACTTGGATTTTGATGTCATTGGTTTGCTCCTACCGTGTTGACGTAGTTGACGATTCCAAACACCCTCTGTCTGATGGCTTTGACATCTTTATCGTGGTTCTGGTACTAAAATGTAAATACAGAACGTCAGGAAAAGGAGAGGGGGGAAAAGGGATTGATCAGAAAATCAATTGTGCTGCAAACCACCCCATGTCCGGGTTACTTGATGAGAAATTCTCTTTTTATGTAGTATTTTAACAAGCAATATGTTTCAAGATGTGTATTAAAGTTCAGGGTGCAGAGAAGAGCTTGGACTCCATGATCCTTTTATTGGTCCATTCAGCCTCAAGATTTTTAGGCACTTTAAGGGGTTTTCTGAATTTTCTTCATCTCTAGGCAGGATTTTGAAAATAACCCCATTTTAGGAAACCCTTTTCCCACCCAAGCTCAGCAGTTGGAAAAGCAGGAGCCCAGGGATACAAGCAACACCTATCCTGGGAAAATAACAATTCCAATACTCACCAGAGTGTTGTCTGCAACTATGTAGAGCTCCAGGTATTTTTTGGCTTTCAGATACTCTTTCATCTAAAGAAATAATAGATATAAATGACCTGCTTTAGTCTCAATCTTTGCAACTTCAAACCCATCTATTAACTCTTGGAGGTGTTTCTTTGGCCAAGTCATTTAGAGTGGGACTGTTTTTAAAAGACGAGAAGCAGGTTAGATATTAAAATTATTAAGATTATGAAGGGTCTGCTGGATATTAAATAAGTATTTAGTGTGTAAAGGTGCACCTGCTGGTAAAGGCAGGAGGGTTTAGCTTGGGTGGTGACTCTGAAATCTCAGATCTGGAAGATTTTTGTGCTGATTCTTTAAAATCTGATGCAATGAGCAGCCAAAGTGGGGCTTGGGCTCCTCAAATTTGAGTTTTTAACCCCTTCCCTCTGTGTTTAACCCTGTCCTTACCTCGGGGCTGTTGCTGGATTTGAAGATGTCGTTGATGGGGTCGTCAGAATCCTGTTCCCAGCTGTTGTTGGAGAGGCCACAGGTTTTGATGGGCTCTTGTTTCAGTGCCTCGTATTTATAAACGGCGTGTTCTGCTCCCTCCCAGCCTCCCAGGGGCTCGATGAGGTACCTCTGGCCACGGGTCTCAAAATAGCCACTGAAAAAAGGAGCTGGACTGTGATTTTTTTTTTTAATCAAGACAGCAACAGCATCTCCAGAGCGTTTATCCCAAGCATGGAATATTCTGGCAGCCTTCAGCCAATGTAAATTTAAATCAGGAATTAAAGCTGCTGAATCAGCTGGAAGATTTGGGTGGTCAGTGAATTCTCTGAGGAGGAGACTGGCAGTGAAAGGAAGCTGGTGTAGGAATTAATTTGATTTCAGTTGTTGGGGTTTGTGCTAACAGAGGGGGTTGAAAAGTAAATTTTGTTTCAGTGAGGAATTCAAAGGTGAGAAGAAAAGCTGAAATATCGTAAGGAACTGAGGAACTTCTCCTCCCCTTCTTTCCCTGCTTCTTTAGTAAAGTGGTTTCCTTGTCAGCAGGAATAGAAGATCACATGACTTATTTCCATCCCGATTCTTTTTATATGGAATTTATCCCAGAATGTTCCTATTGTGCCTTTGGGAAGCAAAGCTGCCCTTACCTGAGCCCTTGGCAGGTGCTGATGCTCACTGTGGACTCAGCATCATCCTGAACGTGACCTTCATAAAAACAGTGATCCTGTTGGGAAAAGGAAAATCCAGAGTCACACTGGGCCCTGTCCCATTGACCCAACTGGCCTGGATCCAGTGATTTCAAAAGACAAACTACAATAAACAGCCCTGGCTGAAATCTCCCATTAGCAGGGTCTCAAAATGAATTAAAAAATTATTCCCTAACCATTATTTTTATCCTTCAACAAGGAGGGACCCAAATTGTGACCAACCAGTCGTGGTGGGATCTGGTCAGTACACAAGAGCCCATAAAAATAAGGATATGGACACACACTGTTCCAAATTAAGCACAAACTGCTGAATTAAAGTCCACACCAAATGATTTTATTGCAGCCAAATTTCAAGGCAACACCGTTTAATAACCCAGCAATTAACTTCAGTGAGATTAAAATGTTAAATGTATGATCAGGGGAAAGAGTTTTGTGACTTAATTGGCTTAAGGATCTCAGGTTTATATTTCTGTGTTCAAAGAGACTTCAAAGTCACCGAGGGACTGTGGGAAATGTTACCTTTAACGTTTTCCTGAATGGATTTCTTAAGAACACGGCCCCAAACCTTCCTGCCTCATGCCTTTTGTTTGCTCCTGGATCTTTGGGTTCACTTTTACCATTTATTTGTCTTCCTTTCACCACAGAGTGACAACTTTCTTACAGGGATAAAGAGATCCAAAAAAGGGAAAATCACTGGGGGAAAGGGGAGGATTTATCTCCATCACTGGAGGATTTAAGAGCAAAATATGAATTCCCTGTTCAGCACAGATAGGCCTGATTGAGTCTGTCTTTATCCACGTTTAGGTGATGTTTGCTTTTCCCAGGATTTATTTAGGAAAAATCATTGGAGCAATGAGAAATGCCTTTAGCCCCCCCCCCCCAAAAAAAACCCCCGAACCCAGAATTCTTTCATTTATTTCACTCGAGATCCTCCTGTTCCTGCTGACAAAGAAAATGAGGCTTTGGATTCCAAATCCTGGGTGTTAAAACACATGGAATGAGCTGGGAAAAGGAGCTTCAGATGGAAGATCAGCCTGAGGAGGGCAGAGTTAATTCCCAAGGAGGGTAGAGTTAATTCTTGAGGAGTGCAGAGTTAATTCCCGAGGAGGGCAGAGTTAATTAAAAAATCCTTTCTGTGGTGACTCCCTTTGTGTCTGGGTGGAAGAACTGATTTGTCACAGATCAGAGAAAGCACCTGGAGTGACCTGAGTGCATCTGCTGAGCGTGGGTGGGAAGGTGAGCCCGGAGGAAATGGGGTTTATCCCAACCTCTGATCTCGCCGGGAGCAGGGTGTGAACAGGAGCGGGGTCAGGAGGGCAAACAGGCAGGTTGGGAGCAGTGGGATGGCCCTGGCTCCACTCCCTGTCCTGCCAGGAGGGAGAGGTTTGACTCACAGGCTGTTCATCAGCACTCAGGGGAGAGGTGGTGTCTTCCTGTGGGGCTGATTCCCCGCGGGAACAAACCGGGCTCAGCTCTGCCCAAGCCACGAGTCCCTTCTTCCCAGAATATTCCCAGCTGGAAGGGACCCACCAGGATCATCGAGTCCAGCTCTTCAGTGAATGACCCAAATCCACCAGAAAAACACCACCAGGGTATTAATGATCTCCTCTCTCTTCCCTGAATCCAAGAACAGGATAAATCTGTGCATTTTCCCTGTCCCTTCAGACACATCCTAAATTACAGGCTTAGAAGCTTGATTTAAAATCTTTCCTTTCTGTCTTATATCTCCTATTATTTCACAGCCTCAGGAATCTCATATGGACCTCAGGACTGTAAATATATGGGAAAAAAAGCCTTCCTTTATTACCTTGATCCGAGGAGTTCTTGTTATTTGTCGACCGTCGTCCGAATAAACGGTTTCGGTGTAATCTCCACCTAAAAGATCCCTGCAAAGAGCCAAGTGCAGTTCTTATTCCAAAGAAATTGTAGCCACATAGGAATGAGGTGATTACACAACCCACCAAGCACGTGGGGAATTCAAACAATTACCCAGGTTATTATTAGTATCGAAAAAACTCAGCGAGCAGAGCAGCAGGGTGGGGAATTCTGCCTGTTCCTGGTCCTTCCTCAAATAAAGGGACACTTCTCAAGGAGAAGAAGGCAATTAAAATCTACTCATTTCATTGCTCTAAACTAATCTCCCAGCAGATCTGAATGCAAATGTATAATTACATATTGATCCTTTTTTTTTTTGGCTTTTTATGCATCTGACTAAAATCAGCAGCAAAGCAAATCTGCCTCACTTCTGTTTGGGCAACTGCCCCAAACTGCCACAGTCCCACTTCTCTTCAAAGGAAGGGATTTATTACAGTATATTTTCCCTCTCCCCACTGCAAATATTTAGATTAGATTAAAACAGGGGCAAGCAGTTAATTATAGTCTATATTTAAGGTGAATTCATTATGGTGCTGTTGTATTTACACAGCCTTTTGAAAAGTAATTATTAATGCAGACTTGTCTGATTACGTGTTCAGTATTCTGGTGGGGCCAGAAAATCCCAGCTGAGCTTTATTCTGTGCTGTTCTGTGCAATTTTGGGCTTCTCCTTGTGTGACAAAGCCCCCTGCCCTTCTGTACCCTCTGCATGGCCTCTTTCCAGGCCTGTTCCTGCAGCCAAGGGGGAGAATTTTCCCTATTTTCCACTTCCAGGAAGCACCTTATCAATGCCAGGATATATTAGATTATTCCAAGTCCAACAGCAGTAGTGTTAAGATAAATATCTCTCTCTATCTATCTAATATAGAGATATTTAAATATGGAAGCATAGAATGGAAAATACCTCCAACATCAACAAATCTATCCCAGAATCCCAGAGTGGTTTGGGTTGGAAGGGACCTTAATGATCAATTAATTCCACCCCTGCCATGGGCAGGGACACCTCCCACTAGCCCAGGTTGCTCCAACCTGGCCTTGGGCACTTCCAGGGATCCAGGGGCAGCCACAGCTTCTCTGGGAATTCCATCCCAGCCCCTCCCTACTCTCCCAGGCAGGAATTCCCTCCCAATATCTAATTTAAACCCGCTCTCTCTCTCATTTTAAAACCACTCCCCCTTGTCCTGTCACTGCATGCTACGAGTTTATAACCCCCTGACTACTCATGGTCCCAGAAAACTTGTGGAATACCATAAAAACATTAAACTTTCAGGGATTTGGCCCTTTAGGAAACAAATGGGAGAGCAGAGGTACAGGCAAGTCACTCCACCACGGTGATGCCTCGTGGCCAAGTCCTTATTTCATGTTCCCAACACAGTGCCATGATGCTTCTCTCCCCTTTTTCTCTTGAAAAGTTGTTTTTACCCCAATACCTCCATTTTACAAGGGCCTAAATCCTGGGTTTTTTGTATCCTGAACACCCCACAGTCATTCAGAGGCAGGAAAAACACCCGAGGAAAGAGTTGAACCCAACCTACTTATTTTTTTGTAGCTGCAGGACGACTTCCTGGCCGTTGGCTTTGATTCCATACTCCACCTTGTCAACATATTTGGTCTGTAAACAGATTGAAGTGTTAGACTGTGGGCTGCTACAACTCATTGACCTGCCAGCAGTGCTCTTTTCCTCCTCTTCCCACCAAAAACAAGTGCTCTGGCAGCAACACAATAAGCAGGAGGTTACTTCTGTCTCGTATTTTTTTTTTTTACTTAGAGGAAGAAATTTAACTTTGCAAATTCATTTTTACCATCCTAAACATGTTTGGGGAAGTGCTGGGGTGGATGCTGAGGTTTAAACACTTCCATAACACCCTCTGGAAGTGCTGAAGGCTTTTAAGTGCTTTTAAGCTTCAAAATAAATTGTCTGGAGGTCATAAAAAATTTGAGTAGTGTCAAAACCAACATCTTTGCAGAGATTCAGGTGCTAAAAGAACCACTGCTGGTCACTGCTGGGGTGGATGCTGAGGTTTAAAGATTTTCATAACACCCTCTGAAGTGCTGAAGATTTTTAAGTGCTTTTCAGCTTTTGGTTGAATTTACTTCAAAATAAATTGTCTGGAGGTTATTAAAAATCTGAGTGGTGTCAAAGCCAACATCTTTGCAGAGATTCAGGTCCTAAAACACCCACTGCTGGTCACTGCTGGGTTGGATGCTGAAGTTTAAACACTTCCATAACACCCTCTGGAAGTGCTGAAGGCTTTTAAGTGCTTTTAAGCTTCAAAATAAATTGTCTGGAGGTTATTAAATTTTTGAGTGGTGTCAAAGCCAACATCTTTGCAGAGATTCAGGTCCTAAAACACCCACTGCTGGTCACTGCACATGTCCCACCTCACAGCTCCTCTCCACTGGACACGGCATCACTTTTCCAGGGTTTCTCTTTCATTTCCTTTTGGAAGATCAACTCTCTGGCTCCAAAGTCCCTTGCCCTTAAAAACTGTGGGTATCCCGACTCCAGAAACCCTTCCCCATCTCCCAGGAACATCAAACATCTCTCTTTTGATACCTGGGTGTTCCTTCCCGGGCTCCTTTTCTGCACCGAGCGCAACTTCTGTGGATAAACTATTTCATAGCTCTCCACTCCAGGTAACTCCCTGCTGGTGCTCCCTGGGGAAAAACAGATGGATATTTAGGAAAACCCAGCATTATCTTATCAAACACCTCATTTCCTGCCTCTCAAGGCTGATTTTTTGGGGCTCTTGCACCCCTCATGCCTCGTGCTCAGGGGTCCGTGGCCACCTGACACCAGAAGGTTGTTCCCAACCTGGATTTGGGATGAATTTTCCCACCTGGATTTGGGATGAATTGCCCCACCTGGCTGCTTCCAGGCGTCCAAATATTTCCCTGTGGGCTTCTCTGAGCAGTTCAAGTCCCAGCCTGCCAGACCAGCCTTTGCCTCTGCACTTTGCAGGTGACAGGGATTAATTTATAAAGCTCTGGGAAAAGGGGGATCTCCAAATCTTTATCACATGATGGGCAAGTCCAGACTGCCTGGAGATCAGCAAATAAACTTACAACAATGCAGAGGTTTGGAATGAGGCTGGATTTCTGTCTTGGAAAGCTTTCTCCCATAAATAATTGTGACAGAACTTGATAACAGAGGCACTTTCACCTCTTTAGTTGGAGGGAGGTACAAAGCTGTGACAGAAGAAGGTTTAAAGGAGGTGTTTGAGCAAAACCAGGTAAAATAATAGGAGATAGCACTAAAGGAGGAAAATTTTGAAGGTGGGAAGGAATCCAGGTAATTCTTTAACTCCCATAACCCTTTCTCATGGTCTTTAAGCCACGTTGTGTCTCTGCAGTGGTTGTAAGAACTCTGGGAGGAAATCCAGAGCTGAGGAAAAGGGTTTCTTTTTGTTTTCTGCTCTGAACCCAAATAAATCTCGACCAAAGTTAATTTGGGGCACCACTTGCAGGGCTGGGCAGCACAGAGAATTTAATTATGGCATCCCAGAAGTTCATTAGAGCAGCTGCTGTCCAGGTTTTTGGGAAAACAGGGTTGGTTGTGTTGGTTTCCAACAAGGCAACAGCAGGTTTTAGATGCCCCTGAACTCTTAAATCTCCTACTGAAGGACATTTCATGTGAGTTTGGAAATTCTGGAGGGCTCAGAGCACAAGAGCCTGTACTTGAATACAAAACCAAACCCAAACAAACCTAACCCCACAAAGCCCAAAGGGAGGATACACCTCCCATTTAATTCCCTGCCCCAGGCCCAGGTTTTCCCAGGAGTGGGGCACCCACTGCCTGTAATTTGTCTGGAACAACAGAGCACATCCCCATGCAAATTGTCCCAGTCAGACAAACAGATTCCATCTTTGCACCTGGTTTGCTGGATTAAACCCTTTCCAAAAGTAATTGCAGAATAAACTGGGTTATATCTTGCTAAAACTGGTGGAGAAGTGACCTTACACCAGCTGAGCTCTTGCACAGAGCCCTGGGCACGTGCTCAGAGCAAATACCAAGTGTAACTTTACTCCTGCAATTCCCAGGGATCTTTTGTAGTTTATTTTAAGCAGATAATTACATTTATTTTGTTTAAAAAATCGTGGTTTTCAGACTTAAGTCTTTTCCACAGCCATAAAGTAGGATCAGTGATATTTTAGGCCTCTTGGTACAGAATTCTCCAGTTTTATCTCACTGTTCACACCCTTTGTCCAACTCCAGCCCAGCCAGTTCAAGTTTAAGTGGGATTTAAATGAAGACTCAGGACTAAACTTATCCCTTTCCTGCAGTCTGATGCAAAAGGCTTTTCGAGGAAAACTGGTTAATTTTGGCCTGGAACAAATGATTTCTTAGAGGGAGTTTTTTAATCAGTGTATTGTCTTTGTCTGCCTTCAGGCACTGTCTGGAGTCAGGAGGTTTAAGGAGGAAAGAAATTCCTTGGGCCTGGTGCTGTGTAATAATGGAGAAATAATTATATACTTTTCCAAGTGCCTAAACTAAAAATCATTAGTGAGGAATCCACTGGCAACGAGGAAAAAAAAGATATAACACCTTAAACACCGTGCCCATTTCCAGATATTCTGTGCAAATAATCCAAACTTAGATACCTGCCTGAGTATAAATTACATGGTTAATTATGGATTTAAAACCTGCCCGTGCCTGTGCCTGCCAAGCCCTGACAAAAAAAATCTGTTCCCTGTTGATATGAATTGAAAGGAACAATTGAAAGGAAAAAAAGTGGGGTCTGCTCAGGTGAAGGTACAGGAATACTCAGAAGTATTGAAGTGCCACACAATAATAAGGGGGTTAAAGGTTTTAATTTGGGTCATGTTGTTATTTGGGTTCAAATAGAA